TGGTTGTAAATCCAGAGCTGCCGGTATACCTTTTCTCAATTAATGTGGTTTTAGCCTTCCTGTGGAATTGATTTCCTGAGCTGATCTGCCCAGGCTTTTTTTAACCCCTGGAGCGGCATGTCTGCCCATCACCCTTAACTTAATGGATGTAACATTCACCCACTTCGCCTAAAAGGTTTGTTTGTATAATTCCTATTCTTATTTAATGGGTAAACGAGGCTATTCAGACTGTGAAGATTCTCGTGGAAATCTTGCTGCAGGCTTTCCCTAGGGGATCGTTATCAGATGCGGCACAGGAAGGAACGTGCTTAATTAAAGCGTGCGGTGACAGATGTGTTTACAACACAGCGCAACCACTGTGCTGAGCCCCTTGCCTCCCTGCTGTCATCTTTACAGAATTTAGATTTTAAAAAAATAAACTGGGGTCCCGGCTAAGAGGCAGAAGAACAACAACAACAAAAAGCCTAAATTGGCACCTGTGTCCACCTATCGCGTTGGAGCTGCCTGTTCTGCCAATTTACTTCCAGGTCAAATTCAAGATGCTGCCAACTGTCAAAGCGCCACATGGCTTGGGACCAGGCTATTTCAAGGTCCATCTCTCCCCTTTTATATCTTCCCGACCCACCAGAGAAGGGAGGCAGAAGGGAGGATGTTAGGGCTCCTCTCCCTTAAGGAGGCCCGTGTGGTGGGACCAAGGTAGGGCCTTCTCTGTGGTGGCTCCCTCCCTGTTATTTGAAGGTCCATCCTTTCCCAGTTATGTCTGCCCAGCTGACCAGAGAAGAGAGAGAGGGGGTGATAGGGATCCCCTCTCCTACGGAGGTCCGTGTGGTGGGACCAGGAAGAAGGGCCTTCTCTGTGGTGGCTCCCTTCCTGTTGTTTGAACATCCATCCTTTCCCAGTTATCTCTGCCCAGCCCACCAGAGAGGAGAGAGAGGGGGTGCTAGGGATCCCCTCTCCTACTGAGATCCGTGTGGTGGTACCAAGAAGTAGGGCCTTCTCTGTGGTGGCTCCCTCCCTGTTATTTGAAGGTCCATCCTTTCCCAGTTGTGTTTGCCCAGCCCACCAGAGAGGAGAGATGGGGGGTGCTAGGGGTCCCCTCTCCTAAGGAGGTCCGTGTGGTGGGATTAAGAATTAGGGCTTTCTCTGTGGTGGCTCCCTCCCTTTTATTTGAAGGTCCATCCTTCCCAGTTGTGTCTGCCCAGCCCACTAGAGAGGAGAGACGGGGGGGGGGTCTGCTAGGGATCCCCTCTCCTAAGGAGATCCGTGTGGTGGGACCAAGAAGTAGGGCCTTCTCTGTGGTGGCTCCCTCCTTGTTATTTGAAGGTCCACCCTTTCCTAGTTGTGTCTGCCTAGCCCACCAGAGAGGAGAGGCAGGGGATGCTAGGGGTCCCCTCTCCTAAGGAGGTCCATGTGGTGGGACCAAGAGGTAGGGCCTTCCCTGTGGTGGCTCCCTCTGTGTGTGGGACACCATCCCCATTGAGATAAGATCAGCCCCCCCCCCCCGTTTTGACAATCTTTTGAAAACTCCGAAGACCTGGTTCTGCGAAGAGCCCATCAATTGGTTGATTTGATTGTTGTCATCAGGGGAGTAGGGATTATGTTGTTGTTGTTGTTGTTGTTGTTGGTTTTTGTACTGCAGTTTTATTTCAGTAAGCCTCCCTAAGTCACCCTGAGCGGGTTGGGCGGCCGTCTAAATTTCCTCCATAAATGACATAAATAGCCATCATAAAGAAGTGCTCTTGAGTTCTAGGTTGCTTCTCTCCTTGGTTAAGTGTCCGTCCGTTGCTTCTTGTCAGGTGCTTTGGAGAAGAACAGAGAATGACCTAGTTGGGAGGGACCTTGGAGGTCTTCTAGTCCAGCCCCCTGCTCAAGCAGGAGACCCTCCTCAAGAAGGAGAAACATCTTTGGGCAAAGGTTTTGCTAGGGAAAGATTTTGGAGAGGGTGAAGTTCACAGGAAGCATCCGCTGGTTTTAGAAACGGAAAAGGGTGTCATCGCAAGGGTGTATTTGCAAAAATTTTGATTTTCAGCTCCAGCTCTCCTTTTGTGGGAGATGTTTTGGATTCAAGGGCAAGCTGAGATGGATAATCCCACGTACAATCCTAATTGAACCCCAAAATTTAACTCCCTCTTTTCTTCCCTCTTTCCCTCTCACCTTCCTTCCTCTTTCTTTCTTTCTTTCTTTCTTTCTTTCTTTCTTTCTTTCTTTCTTTCTTTCTTTCTTTCTTTCTTCCCTCCCTCCCTCCCTCCCTCCCTCCCCGTCCCCCTTCCTTCCTTCCTTCCTTCCTTCCTTCCTTCCTTCCTTCCTTCCTTCCTTCCTTCCTTCCTTCCTTCCTTCCTTCCTTTCTTCCCTCCTTTCTTCCTTCCTTCCCATCCCTCATTCCTTCCTCTTTCTTTTTTCTTTCTTTCCTCCCTCCCTCCCTCCCTCCCCTTCCCTCCTTCCTTCCTCTTCCTTCCTTCTTTCCTTCCCTCCCTCCCTCCTTCCTTCTTTCTTTCTTTCCTTCCTTCCTTCTTTCCTTTCTCCTTCCCTTCCTTCCTACCTGCCCTCTTTCTTTCTTTCTTTCTTTCTTTCTTTCTTTCTTTCTTTCTTTCTTTCTTTCTTTCTTTCTTTCTTTCTTTCTTCCCTCTTTCCTTTCCATCCCCCTTCCTTCCTTCTTTCCTTCCTTCCCTTCCTTCCTATCCCTCCCTTCCTTCCTTTCTTTTTCTTTCCTCTCTCCCTCCCTCTCCTTCTTTCTTTCTTCCCTCCTTCCTTTCTTCCTTCCCTTCCTTCCTCTTCCTTCCTTTTTTCTTTCTTTCCTTCCTTCCTTCTTTCCCTTCCTTTCTTCCTCCTTCTCTTCTTCCCTTCTTCCTTTCTTTCTTTCTTTCTTTCTTCCTTTCTTCCTTCCCATCCCTCCTTCCTTCCTTCCTTCCTTCCTTCCTCCCTCCCTCCCTCCCTGCCCTCCTCTCTCTGTCTCTCTCTCTTTCTCTCTTTCTTTCACCACATACATCAAAAGAGGTCCAGAACTAGTTTGTAACTCATGCTGTCAGGATCAAAAGAAGGGAAACAAAGCCATTGTCCTAGGGGGGCAGGAGGCTGAAATAAAGCACTGCTTTCAATTTCAGCTCTTTTATTTCTTGCTTCTCCTTGCAGTTGTCACCATTAATTTTAGTGTCCTCCTCAACGCCCTTCAAGCGGCTAGATAAAACATCCGATATTTCTCCAGGTACTTGGAATCTTTTGTTCCTTTTGAAAAAGGCAGCCCACCGTCGGGCGAATTTAAATTACATGGCAGTGTGATACGATCGCCAATTTGACCTCCTCTGAGTTGTTTGGGGCGAAGTACGCGCTCTTTCTGAGATTATGAATCGTAATACTCTTTGATTTTTCATTCTGCTTGAAGACGGAATATATATGCCCAGCACACTGTTAACCGTTCCTCTGAGACTTAAGAGCATACATTAACGAAAGTTCAAAAATTACATCGAGCTGAGTTAATTAAAGGCTAGGCACTTCAGCCAAGCGACGTACTTTGGGCATTCCTGGGGGACATTCGAATAAGCTCTGCAGGGATTATTTCTCACTTTCTTTTTCGGCCCTGGGTGCACACAGAAAGACCTTGACTTACGGCCGCCATTGAGCCCCAACATTTGCGTTGCTAAGTGAGACGTCTGTTAAGTGAATTTTGCCCCATTTTACGACCTTCCTCGTCACGTTTGTTAAGGCAATCACGGCAGTTGTTAAATGAATAACACAGTTGTTAAGTGAATCTGGCTTCCCCATTGACTTTGATGATCAGAAGGTTGCAAAAGGTGATCCTGGGGGGGGGGGGACACCGTGACCATCATAAGTATGAGTCAGTTGCCAAGTGTCTAAATTTTTGATCACCTTTGGGGGTCTACGGGGATGCTGCGACGGTTGTTAAGTCTGAAAGAACAGCCCTAGGTCCCTTTTTCCAGTGCTCTTATAACTTTGAAAAAGTCACTAAACAAACTGTTGTAAAGTCAAGGGCTGCCTGTATTTCATTGTTGCCCCAAACCATGAGATCTTAATAACAACAACAACAACAACAATAAAGTTGGAAGGGACCTTGGAGGTCTTCTAGTCCAACCCCCTGCTCAGGCAGGAAACCCTATACCCTTTCAAACAAATGGCTGTCTAGTCTCTTCTTAAAAACTTCCAGTGTTGGAGCATTCACCACTTCTGGAGGCAGGTTGTTCCACTGGTTAATTGTTCTAACTGTGAGGAAGTTTCTCCTTAGTTCTAGGTTGCTTCTCTCCTTGATGAGTTTCCATCCATTGCTTCTTGTCCTGCCTTTGAGTGGTTTGGAGAATAGCTTGACTCCCTCTTCTTTGGGGTAGCCCCTGAGATATTGGAGCGCTGCTATCATGTCACCCTTACTTCTTCTCTTCATTAAACTAGACATACCCAATTCCAGCAGCCGTTCCTTGTATGTTTTAGCCTCCAGTCCCCTGATCATCTTTGCTGCTCTGCACTCTTTGTAGCGTCTCAACATCTTCCTTCCCTCCCAGGTGGGCCCCCAAACTGTAAAGATTGGGGACCACTGCCGTAGACGACGAGAGCAGAGTTAAAGCATTTGGAAATAGCCGGGTCTTTAATCTTCCCTTGTTCTTTGGGAAGAAGACGCTAATGCAGGGGTCCCCAACCCCCAGTCCGTGGACCGGTACTGTGCCGTGGCATGCCAGCAACCGGTCCGCACAAACAAGCAGAGCCCCATCCACGGGATGCAGGCAGTACACAAAGCCACACACAGTCCGGTCCACGGAAAAACCTTTCTCCACGGAACAAGTCCCCGGTGCCCAAAACGTTGGGGACCTCTGCGCTAATGAATTCCTAAATGAGCTTAAGATACACACTTTATTTCTAAGCATAAGCACCCTTGTGTAAAAGACACCGAGCCTGCACATGTTTGAAAAAAAAAGTAGTCCTTTGCCTTTGTGTCACATTGTGCGTGCGTCTGTTTAAATAAATCGGCGATGAGGAATCGGAGACCCGAGACTTGCCATAGCTGTATTTATTTATTGAGGCTCCTCTGTTTATAAACCACAGTGCTGGAAGGCTTGCTTTACCTCTTACACTGGAGTAAACGGTGGCGGTCCTGGCGCAAGAGAAGGCCAATTCTTAAAACTGCAATTAGGAATCATATAAATAACGGAGGAAAACAATATATATATATATATTTATATATATACATACTGGCATTTCCTGACAGGCTTCGCACGCGCCGTGTGCGCTTTCCCCCAGGCTACACGTTGCTGGCTTGTTCTTCTGTTTTGTCCACTTCGTGCTCGGTCAGGAGCAACGTGTCCAGCAGGATGGCCGAGGACTGGATGGGGGAGCTACAAAGCCGGTGGTTTTGGTAGCCGACTGGATTGATGCCGTTCCGCCTCCCGTGGTGCATCATAAAAAGCTTTGAGTTCTCCGTCACCGAATTTCTGAACGAGAGTCTGGCGGAGGCTTTCCGCGAGGCAGTTCCGGCCGCCGAAGTCTGGTAATTGCAGGTGATGTACCTGCCAAAGGCTTGCCTGAACGTCTTGTTGAAAAGGGTGTAGACCAGCGGATTGACCCCCGAGGAGACGTAGCCGATCCAGACGAAGATCTCCATCAGCATTTGGATAAATTCCTCGCTGCAGGATTCGCACAACACCGAGGTGATGTTGGTGATGAAGAAGGGACACCACATCACCAGAAAGAGGAAGAACACGATCCCCAGCACCTTCGACGCCCGCTGTTCGTTGGTGATCGATTGCACCGACTTTTTCCCGACGGTGGACATCCTGCGGACCAGCTGCTCTTCGTTCCCGTTCGGCAAAGATTTGTCCTTACGGGAGCCGTCCAGCATGGCGATTTTTTCCGGCGAGGATCCGGGCATCGTCTCCCGCTGGAAGACGGTGGAGATGGTGCTCCAGGTCAGGCGTTGAGGCGGCTTGTTGATCAGGTAAGCCTTCTTGTGCAGAACCCGGATTGTCAGGAAGTAACTCACCACCATGATGGCCAGCGGGACGAAGAAGGCCGCTATTGAACCGTACAGGATGAAGTCTCCGAAACGACTGGGCTTCAGCACGCAAGTGAAGTTTTGGAAGTTGACGCCGTTCTCTTCTATCCCGCGAATCGGGATTGGAATAGCGATGCCTGGAAGAGAAGCAGAAATCCAGTCAGCTTCGGTCTCTCTCTATATATGTGTGTGGAAAGGTGGACCTCGGAAAAATTTGAGGAGTGACACTGTGATTGGGAAGATCTGCAGGTGGCAGCCCAAATGGTCCTCTGGATACCACCACAAGAGAAGCTTTGTAGCTCAGGGTTGAACTGTGGAGTCCTTGGTGCTCTCTGAGCTGGGTGGTTTCCTTGCAGACGTCTCATTACCCGACTAGGTAACATCATCAGTGTTAGAAGGGAGAAGGGTTTGCGGAGAGGAGGACAATGGGGTCCTTGTGCTCTCTGAGTTTGGTGTCCTTGCAGACATTTCATTATCCAACTAAGGAACATCAGTGCTAGAAGGGAGCGGAGTTTGCAGAGAGGAGGAGGAGGACTATGGTGGCCTTGGTGCTCTCTGAATTGGGTGGTTTCCTTGCAGACATGTCATTGCCCAAGCAGGTAACATCATCTGTACTAGAAGAGGGAGGGGGAGAGGAGGGGGAGGAAGACGACAACAACTGTGGGGTCCTTGGTACTCTCTGAGCTTAGTGTTTTTCTTGCAGATCTTCCATTGCCCAACTCGGTGACATCAGTGATGTTGTTGATGATGTCACTGATAATGCTCCCTAGTTGGGTCATGAAACGTCTGCAAGGAAACCACCAGGGTTAGAGAGCACCCCACAGTCTTCCGGATGAACATCCCCCACCCTGCGAGACATGGCTGCATCTGTTTTCTTTCAGATGCATCGTCAGCCAGAGACTCAGAGAAGAGTCACCACGATGTAAAAAAGACGTTGAGACTCTAGAAAGAGTGCAGAGAAGACAACAAAGATGTTTAGGGGAACTGGAGGCTAAAACATACAAGGAATGGTTGCTGGAATTGGGCATGTCCAGTTTAATGAAGAGAAGGACGAGGGGAGACGTGATAGCAGTCTTCCAATATCTCAGGGGCTGCCCCAAAGAAGAGGAAGTCAAGCTATTCTCCAAAGCGCCTGAAGACAGGACAAGAAGCAACGGATGGAAACTGAGCAAGGAGAGAAGCAACCTGGAACTAAGGAGAAACTTCCTGACAGTGAGAACAATTAACCAGTGGAACTCCTTGCCTCCAGAAGCGGTGAATGCTCCAACACTGGAAGCTTTTAAGAAGAGACTGGACGGCCACTTGTCTGAAATGGTACAGGGGACTACCTGTATATGTACACATGTGTGTTTGTATGTGTACTTACATGTACACACACAAAGATATTTATATAGGTAGTCCTCAAGTTACAATCACAATTGAACCCAAAATTTCCATTGCTAAGCAAAACAGTTGTTTAGCCATGAAAGCCATCTGGGTGATTGGGCCAATCATCAGGAGACTGTGAGTTCTAGTTCTGCCTTAGTCATGAAAGGTGGCTGGGTGACTTTGGGCCAATCATCAGGAGACTGTGAGTTCCAGTCCTGCCTTAGTCATGAAAGCCGGGTGGATGACTTTGAGCCAATCACCAGGAGGCGGTGAGTTCCAGTCCCGCCTTAGCCGTGAAAGTCAGCTTGGTGACTTTTCAATCACCAGGTGACGGTGAGTTCTAATCCCGCCTTAGGCATGAAAGCCGGCTGGGTGACTTTGAGCCAGTCACTCTTCCTCAGTCCAATCCACCTCGCAGGGCGGTGGTTGTGGGGAAAAGAGGAAGGTGTGTGGGGTATGTTCCCCGCCTTGATTTATTTGTAAAAAGGATAAAGTGGGATATAAATAAAGAAGAACAGCAGCAAAATATTCAAGATCCGATTTTATTGGATACATGGGAGACAATTTGGGTTAGAAATGTAAAATTTACTCAAGCGCAAAATTTAAGAGAAAATTTTTATAAGATATTCTATAGACGCCTTTTGGATCCCCAAAAGTTGTCCCGCATGTATCCGAATTTACAGATGGAGATGTGGAAATTTAGATGCAACTTATTTTCATATCTGGTGGACTTGTAGAGATATTAAAGCTTTTTGGATTAAGATTTGGTGGAATATTCAAAAGATTTTTAAGAGAAAGATAAAAGTTTACTCCGCAATTATTTTTGTTGGGTATTATTGTAGATTTTGATGTTAAAGAAATCAATTTGATGTTGAATCTTATAACAGCTGCAAGATTATTGGTGGGGCAATATTGGAAGAAAAACTCTTTGCCTACTATGGAAGAATGGATACTTAAGGTGTCTAATTTAGCAGAAATGGCGAAAATCTCCGCCTATTTGAAGGACCATTCACAAGAAAGATACATTATGGTTTGGAGAAGATGGATTGATTACATTCAAAAGAAAGATGAGACTGAAAAGTATTATCTTGCTTTTGAGTAGATTTTAGATAATTATTAATAGTTTTAATTATATTATTATTATTGTTTTAATTTGCTAATATTTGTTTTGAGAAGGAGTTAAAGTGTGTTATGGTTTTGATCGATAGTATAGTTGGTTTATGTTAGTTAGATTATGTTTGTTTATTCGTTACCCTGTAATCCAGTGGTTCTCAACCTGTGGGTCGGGACCCCATTTGGGGTCGAACGACCATTTCACGGGGGTCGCCAAACAACGCAGTCCGCCATTTTTTTTCCCCGTTTTCCTTAGCTGTGCTACTCCCTTTTATTCTATTGGCTTTTGAAAGCCAATAGAAGAGACTCTCTTGAATAGAGTCTAATTCTATTGGCTTTCCAAAGCCAATAGGAATTGTCCGGGCTGTCTCTGCCCTGCTGAGCCCGCCAAAAGTCCCCTTCTGCAAACGGGGCTGCACCAGTTGAGTAGTCCTCGACTTACGACCGGTTGAGTGGTCCTCGACTTACGACCGGTTGGGGGTCGCGGCATTAAAAAGGCGGAGAACCACTGGTGTAATCAGCTCTGGGAAGTGGGGGAGGGGGGGAAGGGGAGAGGGATGGGAGGGTTTATATTGTAATAAATTTTTTAAAAACTTTTAATTAAAAAAACAAAAAGAGCAACAGCAGCAACAACAAAATCACTCAGAGCCTGGCTTTCACTTCTGGGCCTGCCCGTTCTCTCTCCCTCCCTTCTCCAGTGCCATTTTATAACTTCGAGCTGCGAGTTAACCAGTTTTCCCCCACCTACCGATGGAGATCAGCCAGACGACGGATATTTTGATGAGCGTGGTTGCCCGTGAGTTGTACTGGCTGGCCTGGATCGGCTTTTTGATGGCCACGTAGCGGTCCAGGGAGATGGCGCAGAGGTGCATAATGGAGGCCGTGGAAAAGAGGACGTCGAGGAACAGCCAGGCGGGGCAGAGATAGGCTGGAAGCGGCCAGGGTTTTTCTGGAAAAAAAAAAAATCAGAATATTTTTGGGGTCGTGGATAAAGGAAGGGTTGGGTCAGGGAACGTCTCCAGGAAGCCCTCCGCTTGCCACAGTTCATTTAGTGGTGGTTCGAAGTTAGAAAATGAAGTCGGTAAATGAAGAGGCTAGGCCAGGGGTAGGCAGCCTTGGCTCTTTTATGACTCGTGGACTTCAACTCCCAGAATTCCTGAGGCAGCGTGGGGGAACTATGGCCCCTTCATGACTCGTGGACTTCAACTCCCAGAATTCCTGAGCCAGCATGGTGGAACTATGGCCCTTCATAACTTGCGGACTTCAACTCCCAGAATTCCTGAGCCAGCATGGGGGAACTATGGCCCCTTCATGACTCGTGGACTTCAACTCCCAGAATTCCTGAGGCAGCGTGGGGGAACTATGGCCCCTTCATGACTTCTGGACTTCAACTCCCAGAATTCCTGAGCCAGCATGGGGGAACTATTGCCCCTTCATGACTCGTGGACTTCAAGTCCCAGAATTTCTGAGCCACCATGGCTCAGCTTGGAAACCTCTCCCCTCAGCATGGCTGGCTCAGGAATTCTGGGAATTGAAGTCCATGACTCATGAAGGGGCCATAGTTCCCCCATGCTGGCTGAGGAATTCTGGGAGTTGAAGTCCACAAGTCATAAAAGAGCCAAGGCTGCGTACCCCTGGTCTAGTAACCTAAACTATAATATCAATCCTTAAACTGTGGGGCACGTTAGTCGTTGAATACTAAAGTGTACCTCTGGGCTGGACAGTCACTTGACTGGGATGGTATAGGTTCTCCTGCTTTAGCAGGGGGCTAGACTAGAAGACCTCCAGGGTCCCTTCCAGCTGAATTCTATTCTACTGAAAAAAGTGACTTACGACCATTTTTCACACTCATGACCATTGCCTCATCCCCACGGTCACATGATCAAAATTCGGCCGCTTGGCAACTGACTCGTATTTACGACTGTTGCAGTTTCCCCCACGGGGGGGAGTCATGCGATCATCTTTTGTGATCTTCTGACAAGCAGTGACTCACTTAACAACTGTGACAAAAATGGTGGTAAAATGGATAAAACTGTCTTGTTTAGCAACGGAAAATTTGGGCCCATTTTTGGCCGTAAATCACTCTCAGTATTGACTATGTTGTGAACATTCTTGACTTAGGATCACCTTTTGACTAGCTGAGGAACTGCAGTGATTCACTTAATAACGGTGGCCAGAAAGGTTGTAAAATGGGCTGGCTGGGGAATTCTGGGAGTTGAAGTCCACAAGTCTTAAAGTCCCACAGGTCTTAAAGTTGCCACGGGGAATTCTGGGAGTTGAAGTCCATAGGCCTTAAAGTTGCCAAGAATAGGACACCCCTGGGGTAGGTCTTTGCTGACTGAAGAATTCTGGGAGTTGAAGTCCACAAGTCTTCAAAGGTCTTAAAGTTGCCATGGAGAATTCTGGGAGTTGAAGTCTACAGGTCTTAAAAGTGGCCAGGGTTGGACACTTCTGCCTTAAGGCTTGACTGTGATTGATGAGAACGAGTTTTGCTTCAACATCTGAATTTTTCCCCCCCTTTTTAGCAGCTTCTGAATCTGCAGGATTCAGATTAGTTTGTTGCAGCCCCACTTGACAATTAAGCAAAACGTGATAGTACCAGCTTCTACAAGCGCCCTAATAAATTTGCTTGTTGTTTTAAGGAGACACAAAATATTAAAATACTGCAATGCCACAGCCATCCTTTGAGGTATTTACAGGCAGTCCTCAGCTTGCAACCATTCATTTAGTGACTGGTCAAAGTTTCAACTGTACTGAAAAAAATTTGGGTGATTGGCAACTGGCATGTATTTACAATCTTTGCAGCACGCCCAGGTCATGTGGATGCGATTTACCACCTTCCTAGCCAGCATCAGGCAAGGAGGATGCCAGATTGGATTAATGACCCCTTGATTCATTTAACAACTGCCACGATTTGCTTAACGACCGTGGCCAAAAGAGTTTGTAAAGTTGGGTGCGACTCCCACTTTGCTTAACTATAAAAATTCTGGCCTGAACTGTTTGTCGTGTGTTGAGGACTGTCTGCGTGGTGATCCTTCCACTTGGCTAGATTCAGAATCGTCCTCACGGTCTTTGTTAAACCCAATCCGGTTTTAAACTTACTTGGCGGGCCAGATTTGTGTCTAATTATTTATTTGTTGAATTTACTGATGACTTTTCCAACCAGCTCTCCAGGCTTCAAATTATCTTCGTTATCTGTTTACATCAGAAGTGAATAATAGGAACTGAAGCCCACCAAGGGGGGAATCAGAATGAGTTTAAGGGACAGAAAACACTTAACTGAACCAGGAATTGGGTATGCCTAATGGACATGGCAGCAGCCTTCCAATCTCTCAGGGGCTGCCCCAAAGAAGAGGGAGTCAAGCTCTTCTCCAAAGCGCCTGAAGGCAGGACAAGAAGCAACGGGTGGAAACCCATCAAGGAGAGAAGCAACCTGGAACTAAGGAGAAACTTCCTGACAGTCAGAACAATCAACCAGTGGAACAAGCTGCCTCCAGAAGCGGTGAATGCTCCAACACTGGAGGTTTTCAAGAAGAGACTGGACAGCCATTGGTCTGAAATGGTGTAGGGTCTCCTGCCTGAGCAGGGGGTTGGACTAGATGACCTCCAAGGTCCTTTCCAACTCTGTTAATCTGTATTCTCAATGGTACAAGGTCTCCTGCTTGAGCAGAGGGTTGGACTAGAAGACCTTCAAGGTCCCTCGGAGGGGTCTCGACAAAGAAGAGGAGGTCAAGCTATTCACCAAAGCACCTTAGGGTAGGACAAGAAGCAACAGATGGGAACTAACCAAGGAGAGAAGCAACCTAGAACTAAGGAGAAACTTCCTGACCGTGAGAACAATTCATCCGTGGAACGACTTGCCACTGGAAGTGGTGGGTGCTCCATCAGTGGAGGTTTTTAAGAGCAGATTGCACAGCCCTTTGTCTGAAATGTTATAGGGTTTCCTCCTTGAGCAGAGGTTAGACTAGAAGACCTCCAAGGTCCCTTCCAACTCCGCTAATTCTGTTGTTCTGGTTGACTTACCACACCCAAGGTCTTCACCAACCCGGGAAACGCACTTCTTCTGCCTTAAAACGTTGGGAGGGCGATCCGGACTCGGTACTTACCAAACAACAGAGTTAGCAGGGCTATGGGCATCACAAAGAGCCCAACGAGCAGATCGGCCACCGCCAAAGACATCAGGAAGTAATTGGTGGCATACTGTAATTTTTTCTCCAAAGATACGGCCAGTATGACGAGGATATTCCCTCCGATGGTGGGTATGATGACGATCAGGGTGAGCAGACCGGCCCAGCGTAGTATATTCCATTCTCCAGGGTTGATCTGCGCAGATCCATTGCTGAGGTCAGATGTGTTCAAAAGCAAGTCCATCTTGGTGACCAGGGCTTAAAATTGGTATCTTATTTAAACATTTCCCAGAATCTGGACACTTGGTCTTCCTAAGCAGCCCTCCAACATTTTCATGAACGACCAGCATGATGTAAACGTCTCATTGGACCTGGTCCAGTCGATGCAATCTCCCAATTTTTTGTCCAGGTCCTTCCTCAAAAACCCACCTAAATTTAAAAATCCGTGCTTGCTAGCCCTTGGCCCATTTATAGATCCTCGTCCCCGGGCTAATTGTGGAAAAGACTCCTTTAAAAATCAGTGATTGTCGAAGAGCGAGGTTGCAAACAACTCTTGGGTCTTCTTCGCACGGGGCATCCGGATCCCGAACTTGTTCCGAAGAGATCTCTCTAAGTAATCAAAGCAGTGATTTATAATTATTACACAGAAATGCAAAGGGTTTGGCTTTTGTTGAAAATAACCTGTCTTATGCAAAGTTGGGTCATTGTAATCCGATCGGTGGCGAAATAAAATAAAAATATATTCTCTCCACTCCTTTTCTTCAATCGTCGACATGCGTGAGTTCCATTTTTTATTTTTATTTTTTATGTTGAATTTGTTTTCTGGGCGGGGGGGAAAGATTGCAATCCATATTTTCTGGTGGAAAAAAATCGTACAAATATCACTTCAGGAGGTTATGGACGCTAACGCTATAATTCTGTACCTGTCAGTTCACAATTAATTGTTTTTTATATATTCCACGGAGCTTATTCTACGTAAGGGAATGTAGGTTTTTCACCCCGAAACTATTATTATCGTCAGTTATTTATCTGGCTTGGAAAATAGTAATTACTGGCCAGGGATGGACTGTACGTTCTTAAATAAAATGTTAAATCCTCAATTTAAACCCCTTTCCAACAATAAATCTACAGGGGACCTTTTGAGACTTTTGATCTTTCCCCCTTATTATTTTGACAGTCCTTTCAGCCTCCCAAATTTGATCCCATTCTTATTCTGCCTTCTCACCCCAAGAATTACCGTCCCGTAGCTAAGAATCCGCAAAAGTCTTACCTTGATTTTATTTATTTATTCCTCTCTCTCTCTCTCTCTCTCTCTCTCTCTCTGGAATTTAAAAGAATTCTCTTAGTCCATAAACCAGAGACATCTCTTCCCCAAAGTGTCCCGGGAATGTGCCGGCTTCTGGTTTATAACACTGGATTTTTATTTTTATTTTTTTAAAAAAAGACTTGTCTTGAGATTGCCTTGCGTTCTTCAATGCCACCGGCTCCTTCTGGCGACGGAGATTTCTTCTAGTGCGGTTAGCTTCTTTGCAAGATTGTGATTGCCTGCTGGGGTCAGGTCCAGAAAGAGGAGGAGGGGGAGGAGGAGGAGGAGGAGGAGGAGGAGGAGGAGGAGGAGGAGAGCACTTGAATGAAAGATTCCCTCCCCTTGTCCAGCTGTCATTTTTTTGTTTAGCAATTTTAGCTATTTCTACATTACTTGATCGATGCTTCCCAGCCCTGCCTTGCTCTCTCTGCACAGCTTTCCCGGCTCAATTTACAAGCCTGCCTAGAGCATCTGCTGATGGACTCGCTCAGCGCTTCCAGCTTCGGAGCTGGAACGCAAAGTTAGGAACGACTCAAGCCGAGATTCCCACCCGCTCCCTCCCTCGCTCCCTCCCTCGCTCACCCTTCTGTAGTTTTTTTTTTAACGCACACATTGTTGGCGCTGGTTTTCGCCTGCAGATGATGCAGCCTTCAGCCCTTCTTTGCGGCTTCGGCGAGCGAGCAGAAAAAGCATTTTTTTAAAAAGATATTTTTTTTTTGCACCAGGAGCAAGGGATAAATTGTTACTACAGGTAGTTCTCGGCTTACAACCGTTCCTTTACTGACCTGTCGGAAGCCGCAGCGGCCCGGCAAAAAAGGATTTCTGACCGGTTTGCATGCTTAGATGACCATCGCGGCCTCCCCGTGGCCATCGGATGGAAATTTGATTTGGCGGTCCGGGATTGCGGCACTGGGCGACTGTCTCGCATTTAGGATGGTCGCCTCGTCTGGGGGGGGATCACGTGATGACCCGTTGCGACCTTGCCGGCCAACTTCCCCCAAGCAAAGTGAGTGGGGAAAGCCGGATTTGCTTAACAACGTTGGCAAAAGCGGTCGTGAAATGGGGCACAGCTCGCTTGCTTAGCCGCGGAAAGTTTGGGCTCCGTTCTCGTAAGTCGAGGACTGCCTGCGTTTTGGCAAATGGGGCACCGTTTTGATTTATTGGATTTTTTTTTTAATCCCGCGTGTATTACTTTTACGAGTAACTCCAGGTGGTGAGCGTACGTTATTCCTCCCTTCCTCTTCCTCCTCCTCTTGTTTCGCCCACCACAACAGCCCTGTGAAGTTGGTTGGGCTGAGGTGTTATCTGGGGTCTGGGTGGGGGGCTGCCTGAGCTGGGTAGTTTCCCTGCAGACGTTTCATGAGCCAGCTAGGGAACATCTTCAGGGCTAGAAGTGAGGGGGGGGTCTGCTCTCATTTTAGACAGCCTGTCCTGTCAGTGTTGGTGGGGCTGGTCTTGGGGGTTCCTTGGTTAGGCTGCTTGTCTGAGTTGGTAGTTCCTACCGAGAGAGCAAACCCCACTCCTTTCTCACCCTGATGATGTTCCCTAGTTGGGTCACGAAACGTCTGCAAGAAAACAGCGAAGCACAGAGAGCACCCAGGACCCCACAGTCCCTTCCTCCTCCTCCTCCTCCTCCTCCTCCTCCTCCTCCTCCTCCTCCTCCTCCTCCTCCTCCTCCTCCTCCTCCACCACCACCACCACTACCACCACCTCCTCCTCCTCCTCCTCTTCCTCCTGCAACCCCATTCCCTTCTAGCACAGATGATGTTACCTAGTTGGGTAATGAAACGTCTGCAAGAAAACCACGCAGCTCAGGGAGCATCAAGGACCCCACAGTCCGTTTCCTTTTTCTCTCTTCCTCCTCCTTCCCCTCCTTTCTGCACACCCCACTCCCTTCTAGCACTGATGATGTTCCCTAGTGGGATCATGAAACGTCTGCAAGAAAACAACCAAGCACAGAGAGCATCAAGGACCCCACAGTCTCTTCCTCCTCTTCCTCTCTTCTTCCTCCTTTTTTTTCTTTCTCCTCCTCCTCCTCCCTCTTGCACTGATGATGCTCCCTAGTTGGGTCATGAAACATCTGCAAGAAAACAATCAAGCTCAGAGAGCACCAAGGACCCCATAGCCCTCCTCCTCTTCTTTCTTTCTTTCTTTCTTTCTTTCTTTCTTTCTTTCTTTCTTTCTTTCTTTCTTTCTTTCTTTCTTTTTTTCTTTCTTTCTTTCTTTCTTCTCCTCCTCCTCCTCCTCCTCCTCCTCCTCCTCCTCCTCCTTCCTCTTGCACTGATGATGTTCCCTAGTTGGGTCATGAAACGTTTGCAAGAAAACAATCAAGCTCAGAGAGCACCAAGGACCCCACAGTCCTCCCCTCCTCCTCCTCCTCCTCCTCCTCCTCCTCCTTCCTCTTGCACTGATGATGTTCCCTAGTTGGGTCATGAAACGTTTGCAAGAAAACAATCAAGCTCAGAGAGCACCAAGGACCCCACAGTCCTCCCCCCCCCCTCTTGCACTGATGAGGTTCCCTAGTAATGAAACGTCTGCAAGCCAAACTCAGAGACCCCCCCAAGGACCCCACCTCACATGGGCTTCCAAACCACCACAAAGTGCCTATTATACACAGAGCATAAGACTCAAATGTGGTGAGCACCCTTGCGGGTGTACAATGCCAGGAAAGAAACGAACAAGGCCCATCCATCCCTGTGTTTTGGCGAAGTCAAAAGGAAATTATTCCTCCGCAGCAAAAACAGTGGGAGCCTTAAAGGAAGGATTATAACATTTCAATGATAAAGGAAGAGATGAATAATTAAAGCAGGTTTTTTTTTTTTTTTTTTTTTTTTGCAGAGCGTTTACATTTTGTTTCTTCTTCGGGGCCTCTAAAAAAAAACAGCTACTTTGGGTAAATGCAGAAGGCGAGCGCGCAAATTAAATCTAGTCAACCGGCTCCTTTGTGTGTGTGAGTTTTCTACCTGCTAGCAATCCCTCTTTGTCCTCTTCCTTAAAATGTAAATTATTTTCACGGGGGGGGGGGGGGGAATGGGGTGTTGTGTCTTTTCGAAAGGGAAGAACCAAAAGAACCTATTTGCCTTTATTTCCTCCGGTCAAGTAGATATAAACAGTCCTTGAGTTATGACCGTAACTGAGCCTCAAACTTTCTGTTGCTGAGCGAGAACGTTCAGAGAGTTTTGCCTCGTTTGATGTCCTTTCTTGCGACCGTCGTGAAGCGAATCACTGCAGTTGTTAAGTTAGTCAGACGGTTCTTACGTGAATCCAGCTTCCCCATTGGCTTTGCTTGTCAGAAGGTCACAAAAGGGGATCACCACACACACACACGGACACACGGACACTGTGACCGTCATAAATGTGAGTCAGTTGCCAACTGTCTGAATTTTGATCACGGGGATGCTGCAACGGTCGTTAAGTGTGAAAAAGGGTCATAAGTGCGGTTGCAATTTAGAACGGTCCCTAAACGACCTGCTGTAAGTCCAGGACCACTTGTAGTTCCTCCCTAATTACTCACCGCATCACGTGGTATCCCAATATTGTGCTGCTATATCCCATCTCATTTATATTATAATTTGCAGGAGTCTGTATATAGAAAGCTTGTATTTACACCCTTTTTTTAAAAAAAAAAAAATTAGGGCTCCCCAGTACCAAAATGAAACAATTTATGCTTCCATTAAATTGTGGGTTGATCTCCAATTTCAAACAGACTCTCGGGGAAATAGGGGAGAGAAATTTATCCTACAAATACTTAATAACAACAACAACAACAACAACAACAACAACAACAATAATAATAATAAAGCTGGAAGGGACCTTTGAAGTCTTCTAGTCCAGGGCTTTTCAACCAGTGGGTACGGGTACCACCTGTGGTACATTGGCACCTGGCAGGGGGTACGCAACCATCCTAGCAACATGGTAGCAGGGGAGGGGAATGAGCTGAACCGGGGGCAGCACCGCACAAGCCTGAGCGAGAGACGGCTGGAGCTGCAGGGCTGTCAGGGCTCAGCGGAAGCGCCAGGATCAGCACCAGGCTCCAGCTGGAGCTCAGCGCTGATCCTGGTGCATCTGCTGAGCCCTGAAGAAGCGCCGATCAGCTGGAATGTTGCAGCCTCTCCAGGGTCTTGTGATTTACATTCAGATGCTTGGCAACTGATTCCTATTTATGACGGTCACAGTGTCCCAGGGTCATGGGAAGCGACCAAAACCTGCTGCAACCACCCAGCAAATGGGGGGAATAAAAACCAAACACCCCCCCACCCCCGCTGCCAATCCTCAACAGAAATGCTCACAACAATGAAAACCTCGGACAGGAGGAAGAGCACCGCTGGGAGGGCAGGCAGGTGTCTTGCTCGGCTGTGGCTTGGGGGGCACTTTTTTCAGTGCCATTTTAACTTCGAACAGTCACTAAGCAAACTGTTGTAAGTCGAGGACTACCTGTACTTTATCACCTTTTTCTTTCTTTCTTTTTTTTTTTTTTTGGTCATCAAGTTTTTGACCTCTTGCTAGGCGACTGGTGGTCCTCAGATGTCAACATATCCTAAAAGTGGTACAATGGGTGAAAAGGTTGAAAAGCCTTGGCCTAGTCCAACCCCGTCCTCAGGCAGGAGACCCTATACCATTTCAGACAAATGGCTGTCCAGTCTCTTCTTAAAAACTTCCAGTGTTGGAGCATTCACCGCTTCTGGAGGCAAGGAGTTCCACTGGTTAATTGTTCTCACTGTCAGGAAATTCCTCCTCATTTCTAGATTGCTTCTCTCCTTGATGAGTTTCCATCCGTTGCTTCTTGTTCTGCCTTCAGGAATGGAATGGAATAGAATAGAATAGAATAGAATAGAATAGAATAGAATAGAATGGAATGGAATGGAATGGAATGGAATGGAATGGAATGGAATGGAATAGAATAGAATAGAATAGAATAGAATAGAATAGAATAGAATCAGAGTTGGAAGGGACCTTGGAGGTCATCTAGTCCAATCCCCTGCTCAGGCAGGAAACCCTATACCATTTAGGACAAATGGCTGTCCGGTCTCTTCTTAAAAACTTCCAGTGTTGGAGCATTCACAGCTTCTGGAGGCAGGTTGTTCCACTGGTTAATTGTTCTCACTGTCAGGAAATTTCTCCTTAATTAAAAAAAGAGACGTGCAGGGCTGAAACATACTTGTAATCAGCTGAGGAATTACTGAGTTTGGGGCATCCGGAACATTTCAGCAGTACACGGCTGCAGAGCAAGGTTTTTATGGGTTGTGTGTTTGCACATATGTTCTCGAACTGAAACCACAATAAGGAAAATGCCCAAAATATCACATTCATTGCAACATACGGCTGATGTGCTGAGGAAGTTGGACTTGTTAATGTTTAACACCCTAAACCATTTGGATATTGACATTTAACAAGAGTTGGAAGGGACTTTGGAGGTCTTCTAGTCTAACCCTCTGCTCAGGCAGGAAACTCTGTGGCGTTTCAGACAAATAATTGTCCGGTCTCTTCTTAAAGACTTCCAGTGTTGGAGCATTCACCGCTTCTGGAGGCAAGGAGTTCCACTGGTTAATTGTTCTCACTGTCAGGAAGTTTCTCCTTAGTTCCAGGTTGCTTCTCTCCTTGATGAGTTTCCATCCGTTGCTTCTTCTCCTGCCTTCAGGCGCTTTGGAGAATAGCTTGACTCCCTCTTCTTTGGGGCAGCCCCTGAGATACTGGAATGTTGCTATCATGTCCCCCCTGGTCCTTCTCTTCATTAAACTGGACATCCCCAATTCCAGCAACCGTTCCTTATATGTTTTAGCCTCAAGTCCCCTGATCATCTTTGTTGCTCTTCTCTGCCCTCTTTCCAGAGTCTCAACATCTTTTTTACACCGTGGTGACCAAAACTGGATGCAGTATTCCCAGTGTGGCCTTACCAAGGCCTTGTAAAGTGGTATTAACACTTCATGTGATCTTGATTCTGTCCCTCTGTTAATGCAGCCCAGCACTGTGTTGGCCTTTTTGGCAGCTGCAGCACACGGCTGGCTCCTATTTAAGGGATTGTCCACTAGGACTCCGAGGTCCCTCTCACAGTTTCTACTATTGAGCAAGGTACCCCCTATCCCATGCCTGTACATAGTTTCCATCCGTTGCTTCTGGTCCTGCCTTCAGGCGCTTTGGAGAATAGCTTGACTCCCTCTTCTTTGGGGCAGCCCCTGAGATATTGAAAGGCTGCTATCATGTCCCCCCTCGTCCTTCTCTTTTTTATTTTTTATTATTTCATTTTATTTATTTTATTTTATTTTTATTAATTTATTTTTCACACTTCTGAGAGAGGGCCTCTTTGGGTCAGTTTTCTTCCACTTGTCTTGGTAAAACATAACTAAGTTTCTCTGAACGTTAAAGGAAGAAACTGCCAACCTAATATAACGCGTTCAAGCACGATTGTCGTGATGGTTTTTTGAGTAAGCCCTCGAGGTATGAGTTGCATCCATCACCCTGTGCTGGAGACGTTGTGTGTGGCCTAGCACTGTGTGGAGAACTAAACTGACAATTCACTTAGACAAAATAATTACAGGCATGATATGGAATGCACGAAGGGGGAAAAAAAAAACCCAAGAGGAACTATTTTATATATTCCTAACTTCTATCATTCAAACATCCCCAAATCCTTTATTTTTCTTTAGTGCTCTTTCCGGCCCTTTCCAAAGGGATCCTGAACTCAAATCAACAATCTGTAGCTCCAAAAATTACACGGATAACATATACGGGGAATCCTCCACTTAACAACCACAATGAAGCCCAATTTTTCCGTTGCTAAGCAAGGCAGTTAAGTAAGTTGCATCCCGTTTTATGACAGTTGCTAAGCCAATCCACTGCAGTTGTTCAGTCAGTAACCCGGTTGTTAAGTGAATTGGGCTCCCCCCCCACCCGCGTCGGCTTTGCTTGTCAGAAGGTGCAAAAGGGGATCCCGTGATCCCGGGACCGTCATAAATAGGAATCGGTCGCCAATAATCCAAATTTTAAATCACGTGAACGTGGGGATGCTACAAAGGTCGTTAAGTGCGAAAAAGGGTTGCGCGTCATTGTTTTCAGTGTCGTCGTAACTTCGAACGGTCACTAAACGAATTGTTGTAAGTAGATATTTTTAGCTACTCAGCAGAGTGAAGATTTCAAAGCAGATATCTTTCTGATGAATGAGCTTGCCCTCCAGGGGGATTTTTTTTTTTTAAATAAAGATAAAAATCAAGACTGTGAAAATCTTTTTCTAGGAATCGGCTGCTTGAACAAATGCCCAGCGGGGTTGGTTATGTGGGCCTTAAAAACACGTTTCTCTTTTTTAACTTTTGGATCCATTTATTCAAGTCTTGGTCCCTTTGCGTGTTTAGAGCAGATATCTCTCTCTCTCTCTCTCTCTCTCTCTTTCTCTCTTTGCCAGCTTGTGAACTTTGTTTGAGAAGAAGGTGACAAATGGCTGTGTACGTGGCAGCGTTTATAGTCTTCATACCTGCGCTGCCTTGAGTAGTGAGGACCCATTCCAGCTTGTCAAGGCTGATCCTCTTCGCCCCCTTATTTACATTACTACTCAGAGGTCCCAGTCAAAGAGGCAGCAGGACAAAAAAAACCCCCAAGATTTGTCTTTGTCTATGGCAGTGGTTCTCAACCTTTTTAATGCCGCGACCCCCAACCGGTCGTAAGTCGAGGACTACTCAACCGTTCGTAAGTCGAGGACGACTCAACTGGTGCAGCACCGTTTGCAGAAGGGGACTTTTGGCGGGCTCAGCAGGGCAGAGACAGCCTGGACAATTCCTATTGGCTTTTGAAAGCCAATAGAATTAGACTCTATTCAAGAGAGACTATTCTATTGGCTTTCAAAAGCCAATAGAATAAAAGGGAGTAGCAGAGCTAACGAAAAGGGGGGGAAAATGGCAGACTGCGTTGTTTGGTGACCCCCGTGAAATGATCGTTCGACCCCAAATGGGGTCCCGACCCACAGGTTGAGAACCGCTGGTCTATGGAGAGTCTCAGTCATCCAGGTCAGAGGTCCCCCCAACTTTTTGGGCACCAGGGACCGGTTCCGTGGAGAGAGATTTTTCCGTGGACCGGAGGCTGCGTGGTTTTGTGTGCTGCCTGCATCCCATGGATGGGGCTTTGCTTGTTTGCGTGGACCGGTTCCTGGCGTGCCGCGGCCCGGTCCATGGTACCGGTTGGGGGACCCCTGATCCAGGTCATAGTTATCCGAAGGGTGCTTTTTCACGAGGCAACTGGACTACCTTGGGGTTTATTGAAGATGTTTCGCCTCTCATCCCAGAAGCTTCTTCAGCTCTGCCTGGATGGTGAGGAAGGGAAGGATTTATACTGCTTGCAGACCGCTGGCCATTTGCCTTCTTTTAGAGCAGGGGTGTCAAACTCAATTTCATTGAGGGCCGCATCAGCATTGCTGTTATCCTCGGGGAGGGTGAGGAGGTGTGGCCAGGGTCGTCGCGGCCTATTGAGTGGGCGTGGCTGGAGTGGGTGTGGCCTGCTGGGTGGGCGTGGCCAGCTCTTCATCATTTGCGTCAAGGGTGCCTGCCTGGGCAGGAGTGGGACAGATCTGAGGGTCCCTGGCAGAAGGGGGTGGGACCGGGGCAAACGCCAAGGCATGGTCCACTGGAAGAGCCTTACCGTTCCTCTCAGGCCATGCGAGGGGGGGCTGGATGGTGCCGCGGGCTTCCCGGAGCCAGGCAGTGCGAATCCGAAAAGAAGCACGACGCCATCCAGTCCCCAGCCTGCCCGGTTTCGGCAGGCAGCGGGGCGCTCTCCTCACAGCATCGATAGGCTGAGCCAGGCAGTTCGAAGCTCACCAGCTTTGCACCTTGCTGCCCGGTGAAATCGGGCAGGCTGGGGGCTGAGTGGTGGCGCGCTTCTTTTTGGATTTGCGCCGCCTGGCTCAGCCTCTCGGTGCTGTGAGGACAGCGCCCTATTGCCTGCTGAAACCCCCCCCCCCCGGAGCCCATCAAGCCAGATACGTGAAGTAGGCGAGGGCCATTTGCTGGCCAATTCCAGGCGATGGTGCATTTCTTCATTCCTCACAAAGGGTGACACCTCCCCAGCATGCAGCCAGAGGGGCAGGGCCGACACGGAAGGGGCCGGTCCCTCGCTGTTTCCAGACGGCCTTGTGGAGCTAAGACTGAATATGTTTCAGCATAAATGGCCACCACAAAATTGTACATTGGCTCCTAAGCGACCTGGGCCGGGGCCAAGGCAGTGGGAGCCGTTCCCTCACTGTTTCCAGGATGGCTTCGCGGGCCACATGAAACCACGTCGCGGGCCGCATCCGGCCCCCGGGCCTTGTGTTTGACACGTCTGTTTTAGAGAGTCGTTGAGGCCACTTGGAGGTGCAAAAGGGCGTGGAGCCTTCTTGGAACCGCTGAAAGGACTGTCTTGTAGACTGGAGATGGATGATGTTGTCCAGTCTACAGCACAGTCCTTTCAGCAAGAAGGCTCCACACCCATTTTCACCACTCAAGTGACCCCGAGGACACAGATAGGCCTCCAAGTGGCCTCAACGACTCTCTAAAAGAAGGCAAATGACCAGCCGTCTGTAAGGTGTATAAATCTTCCCATTCCCCCAGAGCTGAAAAAGCTCCTTGGACACGAAGCAAAATGTCTTCAAAGAAAAACAAAGTCCAGTTGCCTCGTGAAAAAAAGCACCTTTGGGACACTTTGCGTGTGTCGTTCTTGCGTGTGTGTGGCGAGGGTTTTTAATTCAGCTTTTTTTTTCCCCAGCTCGTAAAGATAACGTTTCTCGCCTTTCCTTGCGTAAAAACTTCAAGATTGTCTTGGTTTTCCTGTTTAGGACTCCCGAACAATGTCCAAGCGTCGTTTCCTTGTTGTCCGAAAGCTACAATCCGCATGTCCGCTACGGAGCAGCGATGGCCTTGGGGATCTGCTGTGCTGGGACAGGAAACAAGGTGAGGCCCCGTGTAGCCAAATTGCCGTTCTTCTTTTTCCTGCTCAAGTCCAAGAGGCCTTTTGCTTCTTTATTTTATATCCCAATTTGTATTATTTTTAGAAATCGCTCAAGGTGAGGCACATATCTGACACCCCTTCTTCCTCCTATGTGCCCGTAACGACAAATCTGTGTGGTGGGTTGGGCTGAGAGAGAAAAGGATTGGCCCAGAGTCACTCAGCTGGCTTTCATGGCTAAGGCAGGACTAGAACTCACAGTCGCCTTGTGATTGGCCCAGAGTCACTCAGCTGGCTTTCATGGCTAAGGCAGGACTAGAACTCACAGTCGACTTGTGATTGGCCCAGAGTCACTCAGCTGGCTTTCATGGCTAAGGCCGGACTAGAACTCACAGTCGCCTTGTGATTGGCCCAGAGTCAGCTGGCTTTCATGGCTAAGGCGGGACTAGAACTCACGGTCGCCTTGTGATTGGCCCAGAGTCACTCGGCTGGCTTTCATGGCTAAGGCGGGACTAGAACTCACAGTTTCCTTGTGATTGGCCCAGAGTCACTCGGCTGGCTTTCATGGCTAAGGCGGGACTAGAACTCACAGTCGCCTTGTGATTGGCCCAGAGTCACTCGGCTGGCTTTCATGGCTAAGGCGGGACTAGAACTCACAGTCGACTTGTGATTGGCCCAGAGTCACTTGGCTGGCTTTCATGGCTAAGGCGGGACTAGAACTCACAGTCGACTTCTGATTGGCCCAGAGTCACTCAGCTGGCTTTCATGGCTAAGGCGGAACTAGAACTCACAGTCGACTTGTGATTGGCCCAGAGTCACTCGGCTGGCTTTCATGGCTAAGGCGGAACTAGAACTCACAGTCGACTTGTGATTGGTCCAGAGTCACTCGGCTGGCTTTCATGTGGAAGGTGAGACTAGAACTCTCAATCTCCTGGTGATTGGCTCAAGGTCACCCAGCAGTTTTCATGTGGAAGGCAGAACTAGAACTCACGGTCTCCCGGTGATTGGGCCAAAAGTACCCAGCTGGCTTTCATGGCTAAGGCAGAACTGGAACTCAGTCTTTTGCTTTCTAGCCTGCTGCCTTAATCACTAAACCACCTAACTGTGGATAAAGCAGATGGCCCAGTTAATATTCCTCCTGGCTGAGGAATTCTGGGAGTTGAAGTCCGCAAGTCATGAAGGGGCCCTAGTTCCCCCTGCTGGCTCAGGAATTCTGGGAGTTGAAGTCCACCAATCATGAAGGGGCCACAGTTCCCCCATGCTGGCTGAGGAATTCTGGGAGTTGAAGTCCACCAGTCATGAAGGGGCCCCATGTTGGCTGAGGAATTCTGGGAGTTGAAGTCCATGAGTCATGAAGGGGCCATAGTTCCCCCATGCTGGCTGAGGAATTCTGGGAGTTGAAGTCCACCAATCATAAAAGGGCCAAGTTTGAAGACCCCTGATCTAAAGTTTGCTCCCTAGTTGTTCTTCCCAGTCATTTTCTTGGATTATATTCTAGAACAAGATCTCTGCTTATGCAACCCAAATTTTTTATTTATCCAAGAGACACATTCTTTGGCTTGACGGTTTCTTGAAAAATCTTCAGCTTCTGGACATTCAGATCTTTTTGGGGTGGGGGGCAGAGTCTAGAGACGGTCGGGAAACTGTGTTGTTTTCCTCTCTCTCTGATGAAATTTCCCTTAACTGGACAGAAAACGGGCAGCAATTTAGCTCAAGCATTTAACCCAAGTCTGCTTTATCTCTCTGTAACTTTGTGCAGTCGGGATAACAACCTGCATGGCTGTAGCCTCGCACTTTTATTGTTTGTTTATGAAATAAAAGAGCTGGAACGCATGTTTATGCCAGCGCGTCTTCCTGCATCAACACACAGCAAAGGCTTCAGTTAATATGTTAGAGCTTAAAAGACTGGGAATTGTGTTAAGATTTTAGTTAGGCTCCGGAGGGACTCCCATCCTCCTCCCCCCCCCCTCTGTAAATAATTGTGAGCTCACACAACGTCAAGGTCGGGACACCTAAATGAACACCAGTACGACTCGGCTTATAAAAGCGACATAATTAGAAGGAAGTTGTTGGACAGTAAGCCATAAAAAGAATTTGATCCCTCCATGGCATTTTTCTGCGTTTTATTTAACCGATGAGTTCATTTTCTGGCTCTAGACCAGCGTTTCTCAACTTTGAAGATGGATGGGGTCCGCCTTTATAACTTTTATAAATAACTCCAGGTGGCCAACATACCTAACACTCTATTTTTCCCAAAACAACAGCCCTCTGAGGTGGGTTAGACCAGTGGTTCTCAACCTGTGGGTCGGGACTCCATTTGGGGTCGAACGACCATTTCACGGGGGTCGTCAAACAACGCAGTCTGCCATTTCCCCCCCCCTTTTCCTTAGCTGGGCTACTCCCTTTTATTCTATTGGCTTTTGAAAGCCAATAGAATAGACTCTCTTAAATAGAGTCTAATTCTATTGGCTTTCAAAAGCCAATAGGAAGTGTCCAGGCTGTCTTTGCCCTGCTGGGCCCGCCAAAAGTCCCATTCTGCAAACGGTGCTGCACCAGTTGAGTAGTCCTCGACTGACGACCGGTTGGGTAGTCCTCAACTTACGACCGGTTGGGGGTCACAGCATTAAAAAGGTTGAGAACCACTGGGTTAGACTGAGAGAGAGGCAGTGGCCCAAACTCACCCAGTAGGCTTTCATGCTTAAGGCAGGACTAGAACTCACTGTCTCCTGGTGATTAAACCAGAGTCACCCAGCCGGCTTTCATACCTAAGGTACAACTAGAACTCACTGTCTCCTGGGGATTGGCCCAAAGTCACCCAGTAGGCTTTCCTGCTTAAGGCGGGACTAGAACTCACCGTCTCCTGGCAATTGGCCCAGTCACCCAACTGGCTTTCCTGCTTAAGGCGGGACTAGAACTCACCGTCTCCTGGCAATTGGCGCAAACTCACCCAGCTGGCTTTCCTGCTTAAGGCGGGACTAGAACTCACTGTTTCCTGGTGATTAAACCAGAGTCACCCAGCTGGCTTTCATACCTAAGGTAGAACTAGAACTTACCGTCTCCTGGAGATTGGCCCAAAGTCACCCAGCCGGCTTTCCTGCCTATGATGGGACTAGAACTCGCCATCTCCATATTTCTAACCACTAGGCCCAACTGGCTCTACTTTTCTTTAATTAAAGCTTTAATTAACCTTCACAGAAAGAGTGAGGACAGGTAACCAGAGGTGTTTTGCACAAGTAGCCTTAAGGCCAGCAGCTTTGAAAATAAAAGCCTTGAAGCCGACTGATCCCGAAAATAAAAGCATTTTTTTATTTTTTTTAATCACCTGAAACCAACGGCTTACTTCAGTCTCCTGCCAGCCTCCTTTTCAAGAAATTAAAACGCTTGATCTTCGGCGCGCCTGTCGCGCAGCTGCCCTTTTGGGTATCCCTCTCATCAGCTGCCCCCTGCCCTGCCCGGCTTGGAGACGCTAATCGGATCATCCCGACGACGATTAAGCCTGGCGCTTAAAAGGAATACAGTTTTAATATTTGTCTCCTTTTTTCTCCCACCCCCCCCCCCATAGGAAGCAATTAATTTGTTGGAGCCCATGACAAACGATCCTGTCAACTACGTGCGTCAGGGAGCGCTGATTGCGTCGGCCCTGATCATGATCCAGCAGACCGAAATTCTCTGCCCAAAGGTGAGTGGGGGGGTGGGGGGGGGCTTGGGCCAGGGAGGTGGGTGCGAGAAGAGAGAAGCAACCTAGAACTAAGGAGAAACTTCCTGACAGTGAGAGTCAGAACCATTCACCAGTGGAACAACCTGCCACCAGAAGCGGTGAATGCTCCAACACTGGAGGTTTTTAAGAAGGGGCTGGACAGCCATTTGACTGGAATGGCATAGGGCAGTGGTGGCGAACTGCTGGCCTGCGGGCCGGATGCGTCACGCAGAAGCCGTGCCCACCTGAGCTTTGGCAAGGGGGAAAAAGTCACGATGCGTCGCAACACGTCACGTGACATGGCGAGTTTGACACCCCTGGGAGAGAGTCTCCTGCAGACCCTATTCCTTTCTAGCCCTGATGATATTAGCTAGTTGGGCAATAGAATGTCTGCAAGAAAACCACCAAGCCCAGAGAGCACCAAGGACTCCATAGTTGGCTGTCTTCCTCCCTCCGTCCCTCCCTCCCTCCCTCCCTCCCTCCTCCTCTCCTCCTCCTATCCCCAAATCCCATTCCTGATAATGTAACCTAGTTGGGTCATGAAACATCTGCAAGAAAGCCACCAAGCTCAAAGAGCAGCAAGGACCCTACAGTCGTCATTGTACTCCTCCTCCTCCTCCTCCTCCTCTCCCCAAACCCCGTTCCTTTCTAGCCCTGATAATGTAACCTAGTTGGGTGATGAAACGTCTGTAAGAAAGCCACCCAGCTCAGAGAGCACCTAGGACTCCATATTGCTGTCCTCCCTCCCTCCCTCCCTCCCTCCCTCCCTCCCTCCCTCCTCTTCTCCCCAAACCCCATTCCTTTCTAGCCCTGATAATGTAACCTAGTTGGGTCATGAAATGTCTGCAAGAAAGCCACCAAGCTCAAAGAGCACCAAGGACCCTACAGTCGTCGTTGTCCTCCTTTTCCTCCTCCTCTTCCTCCTCCTCCTCCTCCTCCTCACCCATTCCTTTCTAGCCCTGATAATGTAACCTAGTTGGGTCATGAAACGTCTGCAAGAAAGCCACCAAGCTCAGCACTAAGGACCCTACAGTTGTCGTCCTCCTCCTCCTCCTCACCCATTCCTTTCTAGCCCTGATAATGTAACCTAGTTGGGTCATGAAACGTCTGCAAGAAAGCCACCAAGCTCAGAGAGCACCAAGGACCCTTGATTTTTCTGGGAAAGATTTCTAGTTTTAAGTCGATGCAGCAATATCAAAGACTTCTCTCTCTCTCTCTCTCTCTCTCTCTCTCTCTCTCTCTCTCTCTCTCTCTCTCTCTCTCTCTCTCTCTCTCTCTCTCTCTCAAAGCAGCCCTTGGCTCCTGGTGGACATTAAGGTTTGAAATAGTCCCCTTCTTCTCCCCCCCTTCCACCGTGTAGCACAAGCCATCTTAGAATTTCCAAATTTCTTGAGTTTACTGATTTATACCGACCGTGTTAAACAAGAAGCTTAATGTGAATCTTCTTGGCCGGGCTTCCCGCTCTCTGGTGTACAGTATATACTAACATTGGTTGATCGATGGCTTATAACGTTGTCAGTCTTCTCTTCCTTTGCAAGTTACACCTAGTTGAGAATTTGGAGGCCCTCCTTGACGAGGACAGAGCTCTCTCTTAGTTTCCTGCAGCTGTTCCCCGGTTATGTTTTATGGCAGAACGGTGCAGAGGTGTTGAACAAGAGGTAGAAGCCACACACAGTCATCCGCAGAGGGTCCAAATGGGTATTTTACAGGGAGGGTGTGCGGTCTCCACCCCTGCAGCATTCTCTGGGGTGAAGGGAATGGCATAATACAGAAAACAGAGAGTAACTAAGGAACGTCGTCAGTGCTAGAAGGGAGTGGGGTTGGTGGAGAGGAGGAGGAGGAGGAGACTGTGGGGTACTTGGTGCTCTCTGAGCTGGGTGGTTTTCTTGCAGACGTTTCATGACCCAACTAGGGAACATCATCAGTGCTAGAAGGGAGGGGGGCTTGCAGAGAGGAGGAAGAGGAGAAAAGAAGGAAGGAAGGAAGGAAAGAAGGAAGGAAGGAAGGAAGGAAGGAAGGAAGGAAGGAAGGAAGGAAGGAAGGAAGGAAGGAAGGAAGGAAGGATTGTGTGGTCCTTGGTGCTCTCTGAGCTGGGTGGTTTCCTTGCAGACGTTTCATGACCTGACTAGGTTACATCATCAGTGCTAGAATGAGGGAAGAGGAGGAGGAGGAGGAGGAGGACTGTGGGGTCCCTGTATGCTCTCTGAGCTGGGTGGCTTCCTTGCAGACGTTTCATGACCCAACTAGGTAACATCATCAGTGCTAGAAGGGAGGGGGGCTTACAGAGGGGAAGAAGAGGAGAAAAGAAGGAAGGAAGGAAGGAAGGAAGGAAGGAAGGAAGGAAAGAAAGAAAGAAAGAAAGAAAGAAAGAAAGAAAGAAAGAAAGAAAGAAAGAAAGAAAGAAAGAAAGAAAGAAAAAGAAAGAATGAATTGTCGGATCCTTGGTGCTCTCTGAGCTGGGTGGTTTTCTTGCAGACATTTCATGACCCAACTATGTAACATCATCAGTGCTGAAAGGGAGGAGGTTTGCAAAGTGGGGAGGAGGAGGAGGAGGAGGAGGACTGTGGCGCCCTTAGTGCTATCTGGGCTTGGAGGTTTCCTTGCAGACGTTTCATGACCCAACTAGGTAACATCATCAGTGCTGGAAGGGAGGGGGGTATGTGGATAGGAGGAGGAGGAGGACTGTGGGGTGCTTGGGGTTCTCTGAGCTCAGTGGTTTTCTTGGAGACATTTCATTACCAAACTAGGTAACATCGTCAGTGCTGGAAAGGAGTGGGGTTGCTCTCATTTTGCTTTTTTTTAACCTAGTTTGGGTCATGAAACATCTGCAAGGAAACCACCAAGCTCAGAGAGCACCAAAGACTCCACAGCTTAGCCTTAAATTCCAAATATTCCCTCCTATCGCAACAGGAAATGGAGATTGCATGAGTCAAAAAAGAGTTTTTAAGGAGAGGTCTGTGCAAAAATCAAATGTTATCTGAAAGGAAGCTTAGTCACATCGCTAGTTAGACATTTTTGACTATTTTGGGTAATCGATTGATAAGACAAAACAAAGAGCAATAACAGGAATTGCAGCTTCACACAACCCCACACGCCCACCCACCCACCCCAAATTTGAAGGCCTGTTCAGCATCTCCTCTGGCTTTTGACATTTCCCCAGACATTGCTCTTAAGAGTTTCGGTTTTTTTCATCAGGAAACTATTTTTTTCTTTTTTAATAAGGGAAAAATAATCTTAAGAAGTTGAGCCTTTGGTGATGTTGTTTAGCTTCGCTGGATCCCTTAAGATTTGGCAAAGTCAAAAAAGATGTTGAGACTTTGGCAAAAGTAAGTGCAGAGAAGAGCAGCTCAGATGCTTAAAGGCCTGGAGACTAAAACATAAAAAGAACGCTTGCAGAATTTGGGAATGGCCAGTCTAGAGAAAAGAAGAACCAGGGGGGACATGATAGCAGTATTCCATATTTGAGGGGCTGCCCCAAAGAAGTGGGGGTCACCCTATTCTCCAAAGCAGTGGTTCTTAACCTTTTTGAACGAATCGCCCCCTTGAGCCAATGAGGAAGTTGTCATCGCCCCCCTCCCCCAACATAACCTCTCAATCACAACATAGGAAATAATTCTTCAATTTATGCAAACCCTTTTTTTGTTTTCTTTAAAATTGTCATCTGGACATATCGATGCAAATAGTTTATTTCCAGTCTTTTCCCCATATCTCAACTGTGAAAAAAAAATTTTGGTGCCACCCGTCACTTTATTCCCAAACTTCGTGATACATGTATTTCATTATTATCTTATTTATTCAAGACACTTAAATGTAATGACCACTGAAAACAAAATTCAATTGCAAGAAAGTGAAATGCCCGAAAAGAAAAACAGTAGCATTTAATGATTGAATTACAAGTGAAATTTAAGACGCAAAAAGAAATATAAATGGGCATAAGAACAAACCGCAATGCAGGAACTAAGAATTTCAAGACGAAAACTCTGAAACTAAATTAAGATTCGAGGAAACGATATATAGTCACGCACACTGTAAAAAGGATTAAAAAGTCACAAAGAAAATATAATATCGAACTTGAGTGCACGCTAAAAAAGTACAATACAAAGAGACACACAAAATGTTTTATAGAGCACAACAAAAATTTGAAAACAAAGCCGAAAACTCAAACTGGAACGTGAAATCCAATGCAAGCAAATACAACGATAAAAGCTCAGACAATTATTAACAAAAAAAATGTATGTACACAAAAAGCCAAAAAAAAAAAAAAAAAAGAACATCAATGGCTGCCCTATGCTTGGTGAGCTGATGCCAATTTCTTGATGTCTGGAACCATTTTTGTTAATCGCATTCAGGATCTGGCCTTCTAAAGAGCAGTCGGGGTTGATCTCCTCTAGGACTGACCGGTTGGATCACCTTGCAGTCCAGGGGACTCGCAGGGGTCTTCTCCAGCACCATAGTTCAAAGGCCTCCATTCTTTGGCACTCAGCCTTTCTTATGGTATGCTGTTCTAGTGAGATGCATAATCTGATGGATTTATAAGCTTTGTTGTTGTTGTTAGTTGCGATGTCATGTCCGACCCATTGAGACCCCATGGAAAACGTTCCTCCAGGCCTTCCTGTCCTCTACCATCTTCTGGAGTCCATTGAAGCTCACGCCTCCTGCTTCAGGGACTCCATCCAGCCACCTCATTCTCCGTCGTCCCCTTCTTCTATTGCCCTCCATCTTTCCCAGCATCAGGCCCTTCTCCAGGGAGCCCTTCCTTCTCATTAGGGGGCCAAAGTACTTGAGTTTCCACTTCAGGATCTGGCCTTCTAAAAAGCAGTCAGGGTTGATCTCTTCTAGGACTGACCGGTTGGATCGCCTTGCAGTCCAGGGGACTCGCAGGCGTCTTCTCCAGCACCAGAGTTCAAAGGCCTCCATTCTTTTGCGCTCAGCCTTTCTTATGGTCCAACTTTCACAGCCATACATTGCAACTGGGAAAACCA